GGGGGGGGGGGGTGTATCATCCTTCTGTCGGGATCGCTGCCGAGGTCGGGCTGGGTGTTGGTTGGTGGGGGGTGAGCGATCCCATTGTGCATTACCTGTTGGTACTGCCTATTATTGTTTTGTTACCATCACTAAACTGTTTTTATTTCAACCTACAAGTTTTTCCTTTTTGTCCCTCCCCTGTTTTCCTGGGTGAGGGAAAGGCTGCATGGTGTCTGGCTGCCGGCTGAGTTCAAACCAGGACATCACCTCTTTTGGAACTTCTGATGCAGTTGTTTGAGGGTGACTTGTGCAATACAGTGCATTAGGACAGAGAAGGTGGTAAATTACATTTATCCAGTCTTGTGATATAAGCAACATGGAAATACCACCTCTGTGTCAGTGTCAGTGTCCCAACACTCTGGCCATTCACTAGGGTCAGTCTGTAGTGGACAAATGCATGTTAACTGGTAATGAACAGAAATGAGCAGTGAGAACTGCTAGTGGGGACAGTGTTTAGAAGTGCAGTCCTGTCCAGCTTTTTCTAAAGCCATCTCTTGTGCTGTAAGTCCCCAAGTTCTTATTTGCCTTACTTGCATCGGGGAAATACTTTTTTTCCTTTTTGAAAAAGCCAGAAATAATCTGAATATTTTTTCCTAGGGGGCGGGGTTGTGGGGGAACTGTGCTGACTGTCTCGCTGCTTCTTCTGTATTAGAGAGTCTGTTCCTCCCTGTTCTGTATTTCTTGAAAATACTCATGTAGAAGGCCTGGTGGGAATGTGACTAAGAAATGGAGCGGCTGATCTGTGAGGATACTTGCCTCTTTAAAGGCTATTTGTGCTTCTCTTGGTTACTTCCAAGAGCTTAAGATACCCTGTGGAGAAAAGATTAATTTTAATACTGTAATTTGACTCTTTCAGGACTGAGAAGACATAGTACACGTTTTTCAGCCATTTCCTGTCTTCCAAGAGGAATGGGAAAGAGCTAGTATTTCAAAGCTGAAAATGCAGCAGGTTTATCATGGGCCTAAGGGAGAGTGTATTTATTTAAACCCCATTTTACTTAAGTGACCACTGAGCAGAGGGGTGGTTCGAAATTGGTGTCTGCAGTAGCCTCTGCAAGGAAGAGGGCTTGGCCTGGGGGCTTGTCTGTTCTGGCCTGGGTAGGGTCTCTGTCAGCAGCAGTCACAGAATGCAGGGTTGCATATTGTGCTGTGCCAGTGCGCATCCTCCCGGGACTGAGGCCTCCCTTTGTGTTTGGGGTCTCTTCCCTTTTTCACAGGGGAGCATGTGCAAAAAGCATGGCAGTTTCCTTGAGTCTCTGAATCACTGTGCTGGTGGTGTTTTGCATGCAATGGAAGCTCTGTGCTTCTGTATGCCTTCTACAGGGGCATGTACACACTCTGCATCAGGAAGTGGTTTAAAGGGAGGGGGTGTAACTGATGTGAAGGAGGTGCTTGTGCAAAAATGTCATGAGAGGGCCTAGGCAGATGGGTTCCTTGACACAGTGATCTTCAGTAGGTTCTGGTCAGTTGTTACTGGCAGCAGGAAAGAAATAGTGAAAAATTGACTCCTGTTCATGAGGGATTCCTGGATAACAGTAAACTGCTGTTAAATACCTACTACTCACCTCTCGTCTCTGGGCAACAAAAACTGGCTCTAATGAAGTCAGTTGTACCACAGATGCCCCCTTTTTTCCATTGTGTGACTCCACATTTCATCCCTCATACCTTTTAACATACATTGGTCTCTGGACAAAACTGGTTTTCATAGGTGACACCTTCAGATCTGTATTCCTTTATTTGACTATCCAGGAGTTGTTTGTAGCTGTGGAGTCTCCAGGGCCAAGTCTCTGCCCTGTCTCATCATCCTGTGGCTTTACTTCTCTACACAGCATCCTTTGTTTGTGCTTCTCAAGCTTTCTGCTGTCACATCAGGCTTGTATTTCTTTATATTGCATCAGTATGTTAGTGACAAATACCTTATTCTGCACAGAGTACACTCTGTGTAAAACTAGGCTTGTATGAAGTAATCATAAGTAAAAAAACCCAAATTAGCCAGAACCACCTGCTTAGAGGGAAATACTGGTATTACAGTTAAGCCGAGTTAAAACAAAGTAGAAGTCAGTAGAAATTTGGATGAGGCAAGCCTGCCAAATCTCTGTCCCAAGGCTTTGCAAACTCAGTACAAAGCCTGTGGGCTGCAGCCTGTCAAGGATCACCCAATCTACATTTGTTTCCCTAAAGCAAATTTGCAGCTGACTCCTGCTGCAGAGACAAATGTAAGATTTCTGTCTTCTCCCAAATGTTTTGGCATAAGTGTCATGTCCTTTAACTTGGTTTTATGTGTCCTGAAAGGCAGAGCCACTGATACAAGAAGCTTGTGGCTGAATGAGGGGCCTCTGGGAAGGGCATAGAAAGACACTGGATGGAGGGACCAGCCCGGGGACCATGTCACAGTATTCAAGCATGTGTCTTGCCTCCTAGGAGTGGGAGCAGCCGATGTCCTGCTTTTCTGCCTCCAAATTGATCCTGCTCATCTCCTTTCCATTGGCCTTTTCCAGGAGGGAAACTTTCTTTGGAAGTGAGGGGTTTTTTTAATGGATTGTATCGTTTTGTTCGTTTTCTTAAAAAGAACCCTGTTGTTTAGGCTTTCACCACCCTGCCTTGGTGACAGCAAGGAGCACAGCTCTGATCCCTGCACGTTTAGGAGGAACAAGGGCTGTGCTGAATGCTCACCAGGAGGAGGCAGAGCTGTTCAGGGGGTGGATATGTAGTGGGGGAAAGGGAATATGCTGGGGTAGGGCTTGGAGACCCTTTGTCAGTAGAGCAAACTCCGCCTGTACTCATTGTACCCAAACACCCTATAGCCCAGTGTGCAGTGCCCAGCCCACAAAGAGGGAGCTCAGGTCTGGCAGGGGAGTTTTATTACAGGGCTCCATGCCTGTGGCTGTGCTGAGCACTGGACTGGGGCCGAGGAGTGCCTGGCTCCCTAAGTGGGTCTCCCCTGTGGAAACTTTACTGGGCTACAGGTTTCACTTGGGAAATTTGTGGAGTCCGGTGCTGTGAGGGTGAACCGCTGTTACCTCGGGCAAATGGGGACTCTTGGATACCCTGTGGGCAGATGGACGATACACAGAGCCCAATCCACAGCATTGCTGTGTGAGCCCCCACCACACCCAGTTCCAGCCTACTTGTCCTGTAAAATACCAGGCAGAAAGTAGCATCTCTTCAGAGTGGCTGGCACCTCTAATACCGACTGCAGAGCTGATGCCATCCCCGGCTGGGGACTAGTGACAAAGTGTCTTGAGGAATGAGGAACAGCTCTGTTGGTTTACCCAAGGAAGGCAGCACATTGTGTGCTGTGTGAGTAGCCCATGGAGGAGCTGAGCTAGTAAGTCATTCTTAAGCCACATGGGTGAAGCTGGCTGCTTTAGGAATGTTCTCACCACCAGCATGGGCAGAGCCAGGGACTGAAGAGGTGCAGAGATCGTGACTTTAAATGTGTGCAAAGCCTGATGTTGCGTATGCAGTCCAGATCATGGAATAACTCAGGTGGGAAGGAACTTTGGAGGTGTGTATTCCAACTTCCTGCTCAGAGCAGGGGCAGACTGGGTTGCTCAAGGTTTTAAACAGCTAAGGCTTGAAACCCTCTAAGGATGGAGGCTGCGCAACCTCTTTAAATGGGTGAAAACATGTTTTCCACTAGAGCAAATCTTTTTCTTTCTATCCAGCTTGGATTTCTCATTTTAACTCCTTTCACCGTGCAGCAGGGTGAAGAGCCTGACTCCACCTTCCTGATAACCTCCTCATAGGTATTGGAAGGCTGCTCTTAGCTCCTTCTTCAGCCTCCTTCCCAGGCTGAACAAGCCCTCTTCCCTCAGCCTCTCCCCATGTTGTGTGTGATGGCTGGCTCCAGACCCCTGACCGTCTTGACCTCAGATTCTTCTTTCCTGGCTGCTCCCTGGCCAGTCACCTCCCAGCACGTGTTTTTGCAAGGGCATTTTCCTTACTGGCTGCAGGACTTTGCATTAGTCCTTGTTGAACTTAAGGTCCCTGTCAGCCCATCCCTCCAGCCTGTCTGGGTCCCTCAGGATGGCAGCTCTGACCTAGAGGGTATCAGCTGCTCCCCTTACTACATTGCCATCTTCAAACTTCGTAAGTGAGTGTGTTGTTGCCTCTGCCAGGTCATGGATAAAGGTGTCAAACAGGAAAACTCCCAGGACTGACCCATGGATGTGACCCACTAACAACTGTCCTCTGAGTCTTATTGCCCAGCCAGGTTCTTCACCCATCGAGTTGCCCACCCATCCAGACCATAAACTCCTAGCTTGGATGCAAGAATACTGTGGCAGACAGTTTTGGGAGCTGAGGCTGAGCAGCATCCACTGCTCTCCCCACACCCATGGATCTGGTCATTTTATCATAGAAATCAATCAGGATGGTCAGATGTGATTCACCTGTTAGTAAATCAACACTGACTGTTCCCAGTCACCTTCTTTTTTATGTGCCCAGTATTGTGCTCCAAAGACATTTCTGTGGGATTTTTCCCTCTTCGTTACATTTTTTTATTTTGCACTTAAAGGCTTGCTTTCCTGATAGGTTTCTTTTTTATCTTGGCTGATGTGGGAGCTAGACTGGGCATCAG